CAACTCCTGTTTATATAATCCGTCCAGCTCCTGACAAATGATTTGTTTTCTCACCATTTCCACTGTACCAGAAGCCCCTGACACTGTGCTGTCATCGTGCAATTAAAGCTTCTTTACACATGCATGTCTTATTTATGCTGAGATACTGAGTACACTTTTCATTCGGATACTTTGCGATACTATTCTGTCTCTGTATCTCTCTCTCTCTCTGTATTTCTCTCGCTCATTCCCCTCCTTTCAATGCACATCCTATCATCATTCAATTAAAGCTAATCACCACATACTATATTTAATGCTATCTGCTTAATGCAACTCTCTCTGTCTCTCTCTCACACTTATTCCTAAGCACATACGTTATCCTCTTTCTCTGACTTTCCTCTGTGTTGATCTCCATGTTGCTCCTCTCCTCCATGTCACATCATAGTTCATTTAAAGGAGAATTCCACTGATTTTTCAAAATTTCTGTGTAATTCAATCTTTAAGATTCGAAGTCATTTAGAGTATTTTGATGTGAATTGGTTCATTATTGAGAAATATAACGACACAATGTCTACACCACAAATATAGCCATTTGGTTTACTGTCCAAAATGACTAGTGAACCTCCTTGTGTCTTCTGATTTTTTATAATGCCACTGTCACAACAAAAGCTCCAGAATGATAACCTTACAGGAGATGGAAAAAACTTTTAATGGAAGTTAATATAACATGATTTTTTCCCCTTCCAAATCATTTTGGATGATTTTTCAGTTCGACCTTTGATTACAAAATGTGTACACTATTTAAAGGTTAGCTGGAGTTTTTAAATTATGTAAAAAAAAAAAAGTAAAAAACTGCAGAAATTGAGGTAATGTTTTGTTGCAACAGCAACAATATGTGATGTTGATAATGGTAAAATGTGGTAGGTCTCACACATTCCTTCCTGCATGCAAGTAAGTATATTTTGTCTCAGGCAACAGGCAACATATTTGTAATGTTTTGTTGTCAACATATTTTGATGTCATTTGTACAGGCATTAAATGGACATCTGGTTCCTGCCACTACCACTGTAAACAATTCTGACTAAGCAATGGAACAGAGCATTTCACATCAAATCACTCTGAATGACTTTATTTACATCTTAATGATCAAATTATACAGAAATGTTGAAAAGTTGGTGGAATTTCCCTTTAAAGCTAATTATCATATACTAAATGTCTCATTTACCCTCAGTACTTTTCACTGCTGTTCTTTCTCTCGCTCTCTTTCTCTCTCTCTCTAGCTGTCTATCTGTCTATCTATCTATCTATCTGTCTCTCTCCTCCTACTTGTGTTGTCCATGTCTTCTAGTCAGTCTCTCTGTCCTCACCTCGTCTCAGCTAAAGTAAAACAGTCAGTAGTGCGGTTCTTGTTTCGGTGTGTGCGGCTAGGTTGGTGATGTCACAGCCCATATGCAGCCGGTCAGGGTCAGCCGAGGACACTTCACTATGGCTGCCAGCAAGGAAAGTAAATACAGTACACTGCACTGGAGTCCCCCGCAGCAGAATTGGCAGGGGTGGTGTTTGGTTCTGGAGCGGGCCCAAAAGGGAACAACGGTACAGGCTGAGACGCTGTGTGTGTGTGTGTGTGTGTGTGTGTGTGTATTGGCCCAAGGAGGAGTGGGGACAGCTGCAGTGTGGGAGTCGGGACACGACCCCACATGGTAAGCCCCAGTGTCCACTGTCTGACCCTGTCCTGGTGGGAACTGTGTGTAGTGTGTATGCCCCTGAGACAGAGGGCCTTTGAAGACAACTGTTTGTGTACATTTGTTGCAAAGCTTGTATGAAAATTTGCTCACATGCTTGTTTTCATGTGTTTGTGTGTGTGTGTGTGTGTTTGTGTGTTATTCTGTACAGTGTGTGCTCTGTGGTGGGAGTTCCTCCTGCACACTCTAGTACTCAGTGTCCATTTCTCCGCTCTCCTTTGGCTCGCTCTCTCATCCTGGACTGCAGCCACTTGGAGCGGTCACTGCAGAGCCGTGGACACAGTTATTTTTTCACCTCACAGCACGTCTCAAAGACAGCAGAGATTATCTGAATCAAATACTCTACCAGCCTCTGCTTATCGGTCCAGTGTGCAAAAACATATTTGTTGTGTTAATGAAGTGTTCCCTTGTATTATCACCGCTCTTAAAGAGCAACTGATTCTACACTGACCTGTTATGGTTTATCTGTACTGTTCCACAAGTTAATGATTAGCTGTTATCTCTATTGCTGGAGGGTTTTAATGCATTGACCTGAAGTGTTTGGATTTGTGAAGGTGAAATTTTTTAATGAGAAAAAAAATGTTAATGTGCAAAAGTTAAACATGGAAAATTTTGTCATTCCCCATGACCAGCAGAGGTGGGTAATAACTAGTTCCATTTACTCAGTTACGTGTTCTGAGGTACAAATTTGATGGAATTGTACTTAGCTAGTGTTTTTAAATAGAATTACTTTATCCAGTGTTTCTTCTGAAATCAAGTATACTGATAGGGACTTTGCTGCAGTAACAGCCTCTACTCTTCTGGAAAGACTTTAGACTAGATGTTAGAACATTGCTGTGAGGATTTGTTTGCATTCAGCCACAAGAGCATTAGTGAGGTCAGGTACTGATGTTGATTGATCAGTTCAAATCATTCCAAAGGTATTGGATGGAGCTCCATCACCCCACAGAACACAGTTCCACTGCTCCACAGCCCAGTGCTGAGGGCTTAATACCCTTCTAGCTACTCGGCATTAGGCATGATGACCTTAGGGTCATGTGTGGCTGCTCCAGAGCATCCCTTCATACTGGCAATGCTTTGTGCACTCAGCTGAAAACCTGTGTCAGCAATAGACACACTTTAAAATAGCCAAATCCACTTAGTAGAATGAGTGTTTGGAAATACTTTACTAATGTGTTTTATTCCTATTTTTTTTTCTATTTGTTTTGTGTTGAATTTCATTATGTTGGTGACAGCAAATACATTGCTTTGCAATTTGTCACACCTCTCATATTTAAGCTTTAGCATTTTTTTTGGAGTGAAATAATTCCTAAATGAAAAGAATAGAGCCTAATAAACTTAAGGAACTCTAGGGAACTCTATAGGGAATATAATACTTGCGTAATTTTTATATTACTAATATAAATAGTAATTTTATACTCATATTCAAAGTTGTTTTTGTTAGGCTACTTTTAATTCTACTTACGTGGCTATTTCAATGAAGTAGGAGTGCTTTTATTTGAGTGTGAGTTTAGGTTACTCCACTCACCTCTGATGACCAGGATTGAATTAAAGGGTGCAGGTCAAAGACTAAGCCTTGAGCTGATTGGGAGTGTACAGTGTGGCTGTATCTGGAGTAGATGTCTGCACATCCATGAAACTAAAGCCAAACCCAACCCGTACCTATGACTTTAGACCCAACCTGACTGCAGTGGCCATGCTGTTGATTGACAGATGATGCTATGCTAGGGTAAACTAACAGTATTTATTATCAGTATATTTTTGTGGAATTGCTAATTGTATCTGGTAGAGAACAACATCCACCTGCCTCTGATCAACTGTTAGCTTCATGTCTCTAAAGTTCCTCTCTCCTCTGCTGCTCCTTGATGGAATACCTAACATACTACAAGCGAGCTTAAAGAGGAATTCCAGCAGTTCCACAAGTTTCTGCACAATTAAATGGTGAACATGTAAAGATGTAAAGATGTAAAAGTCATTCAGAATAGTTTGATAGGAAATGCTCCATTCTAGAAAAACATACTGAGTCAGAATTGTTCACAGTGGTGGTGATAGGAGCCAGACATATGAAGAATTTAATGCCTCCAAAAGCTCCCTCACAGTAAGCTGTAACATAAAAGGTTATGTATACGCTGTCTGATATCTGAGACACTGTTTTATTACAGTTTTGAGATGTCTCTCTTCGTTTCTTTCCACACACACACATGCATGCTGTCTTTCACCCTTCCTTCACAAAATGGAAGATTACACCCCTAGTGTTGTTCAGATGAGTCAGAGTGAGGCAGAGCAGTGTGTGTTCACTCATCATTGGTACACTATGAAACTGGCCAAGCACTCACTTGGCAAATGTCAAAGCTACTGTGAGGAGACTGTACGTTCTACCAATATATATGTGTGTGTGTTTTTACAGACAGCAGGGAGTGGAATGTCCTCTGCTTGAACATGCTGTATTTCCCTCCAGTCCCACCACTTTCCTCTCTCTCTCTCTCTCTCTCTTGTTCTCATTCTCTTTCAATAAGTGATTTATCGTCTTCTCTTCTCAGCTATTCAACTATTCTTTTCTCCTCCCTTCTCTTCTTCTCTCCTCCTCTCCTCTCCTTTCCTATTCTTCTCTTCTCTTCTCTTCTCTTCTCTTCTCATAAATATTTTTATCCCCTTTCATAAAGTAGCTGTGTGTCTGCTTTGCTTGGTAGAACAGAAAAGCGGGGAAGGGGAGTAAATGAGGAATTGAGTGAGCAGGGTGGAGGAAGAGGGGCCAAACTCAGTCATCGTTTAAATGTAGGAAACGGTGCCCTGCCCAAGCAAAGTCTGAAAACACTGCTTTAGTCTGGCTTGTGTTCTCACTGATGAATGCTGAAATGCTCTTCCTGCCTGAGAGGTGGAGGTGGCATGGAAAAGGCTTATTTTTGCACAGCAACACTTTTGGAACTGCTACCCTGCATCTCCCATCCTGTCTCACAAAGAGGAAAAGAAAAAGCCTTCAGTCAAGGCTGCTAAAGTGAGAGGGATCAGGGCTTTTCAGCACTGGGGCTTGGTGAAAGGCTTTTAAGAGATGCACAGGGATAATGTGGCCATTAATCTGAGCGGGAGATTTTAATAACACATTCTCCTACTCGTGGCTTCAGTGCTAGAGTTGGTGTTAAAAACAGTCACTCTGTCTTTGTATCTGTCCTCTCTGTTTATAGACAGTGCCAGCGACTACTGGACAGGGTGGGCCGTGTTTGTTTCATTATTGCTTGAAATCTTGATTGTAAAACTTTGTCTCTCTCTTTTCCATTCCAGCCGTCATTCCTCTGACAGACTCCGAGCACAAGCTACTAGCGCTGCACTTTGCGGTGGATCCGGGTAGAGACTGGGAATGGGGGAGGGACGACAACGACAACGCCAAGCTGGCCAAGTAAGACCCCTCAGTCCCTCCATCTCTCTAGCCCACCCCCACACAGGGGCTTATAGGCTCTGCTGACCAGCCCATTCGGTCTACGGTACTCAGAGAGGGCGAAGGGAGGGGGAAGGTCTAATGAGGGCCTCTCTGTCTGTGTTATCCCTCATGTGAGGGATTTAGCTGGACTAAATCTGGGCGCCAGTGTCCCAGTGCAGAGAGGAGAGTATGCACGCCACCATAGTTGAGGTTCCAGCTTCTTTGTATAAGCACCATCCAATCAAAGGTCCCACACAGTTATATAAGCCTGTGGATAAGGGCTGAATTTGTCCTCACTATGCCTAATAGATGAAATGCATGGCTTTTGAATGTGTTTTATGGAAGAAGACAAATTCTGTGGAGGAAATTAAAGTAGCCACAAGACCAGAGAAAAGTACACAGATTGGAAGCAAATGTTCCAGATGAAATAAAAAACAGGGATATAACTCATAGCTGCAAAGTTGCTATGAAATGTGCTTACAGAAAATGTGGGAAATTTAGCAAGAATGTATAAGTAAGTACATGTGAAACAAGAACTTAGTAAGTTTAAAACAACATGTGTTGACCTAAGTGTTGTATAGTACTGTGCAAACGATATCAATCAACAAGCATTTCCACCAATTATCTGTTGTACATTTTAGCAGAATCAGTTGTCGTTTGCAAATTGTTTGTTGTTACGCTACTTAAACTGGCATAGCACTTGAAGCAGTTCCTGATTAGCACTTTGATAGACTGATGAATTTACTGTAATTATTGTTCCATCACTAGATGACTTAATTTAAGCAGTGATTAAGCTTCACTCATGTTGGAGTTTCCCTGTCCATTTGCTGATTCAGAAGGGAAGGCAGGAAATGGAGGCCGATATGGCCCAGAAATGTGGCCTCTCTTACGTCTGTGTTCAAATTATTAATCAGATGCAAGTAATCATGTATACAGTGCAAAAATGTTTAAACAAGTGCGCAGTGTCTCAGTATTTTTCTGTCTTTTCTCTTTTTAGTCTTATCCTCTCATTGGAAGCTAAGCTAAACCTTCTGCACAGTTATATGAATGTAACATGGATTCGAATACCATCAGAGACAAGGGTGAGTAAGGGTTAATTCCCTCAGTCTAATGGAGTCAAAGTATTTGGTCTGCCCCACTTGAGTGAGTGATGTACAGGCTGTTATATGAACATTAATATGCTTGGGTTGTGTTGCGCTCTACAGGCTCCTCTTGCTCAGCCTGAATCACCCACCGCTTCAGCAGGGGAAGATGTGCAGTCTCTAGCCGAATCCATGGACTCAGACCGTGAATCTGTCTGCAGTAACTCCAATGTCAACAATGGCAAGTCAAGCAAAGAGAAAGACAAGGACAAGCAGCACAAAGACAAAGACAAAGCTCGTGCTGACTCTGTGGCTAACAAGCTAGGCAGCTTCAGTAAGACTCTGGGCATAAAGCTGAAGAAGAACATGGGCGGCCTGGGCGGACTGGTGCATGGCAAAATCAGCAAGTCTGGCTCAACAAACGGGCGCACTGTGGAGAATGGTGAGCAGAAGCCCAAGAAGAAGGACTCCAAAACACGCAAAGGAAGCAAGGAGGAGTCAGGCCAGTCTGCCAGTACGTCGTCGTCAGAGAAAGCAACGAGTCCCTCTCCTACGGACAGAGCTCCAGGCAACTCACCTGGGGAGAAACAGCCAGGTTCGGGCAAAAACCCAGGCGACCGAACACTGGACAACTGGAAGTACAGCACAGATGTCAAGCTGAGCCTAAACATCTTGCGGGCAGCCATGCAGGGCGAGCGCAAGTTCATCTTTGCCGGCCTCCTGCTGACCAGCCATCGGCACCAATTTCATGAGGAGATGATCAGCTACTACCTGAGCAGCGCACAAGAGCGCTTCAGTGCTGAGCAGGAGCAGAAAAGAAAGGCTGAGGCAGAAAAGAAGCCCCAAACCAATGGAGTGGCCTTGAAGAAGCCCGAACAAGAGAGTGTCTTCCAGAGAGAATGCTCAGACAGTTCTCCGCCTGAGAGTTGCTCGCCGGTCTTGCATCCCAGCCATATCCCTCAATTGAAGACCCAGGGCAGAAACAGTCCAACCCTCGCTGCCTCTCCTATCCCCATCCCGAGCCCTGCCCCAGCTTCAGTCCCAACAGCATCCTCCATGTCGCCAGTCCCCTTCTCCTCCCCCAGTAATGGTGCTAAAAGATCCGGGCCCGTCCCGGTGTCGGCCCACTATAGCCATACCCCACCCATCCAGAGGCACAGCGTCATCCATCTGCGAGACATGAACACACAGTCGTCCAGCTACCAGGATGAGCCCTACAAGCCTGCGATAGGGATGCTGAAGACCTGTGCCACGTATCCCCAGCAGAACCGCTCGTTGTCCTCCCAAAGCTATAGCCCGGCCCGCATGTCTGGGGTCCGTACCGTCAACGCTGGAGATTCCCTGCCATACAACATGCCCGGCGAACACAAGTCCCACACTTATACCAATGGCTTTGACGCTGGTGACATCCAGGACTGCCTGGAGTTTGCTGACGAAGAACCGGCACCGCATGCCTGGCTGGGGCACGACAAGGCAAAGGGCAGGAGCGGGACCTGTCCCATGTACTGCTTCCAGCAGAAACGCTGCAAACGGGAGAACTGCTCCTTCTATGGGCGTCCTGAGACTGAGAACTACTGCTCCTACTGCTACAGAGAGGAGCTGAAACGCAGGGAACGGGAGGGCAAAGTGCACCGACCTGGATAGCCCCTGCCTGCAAACGTTCATATACACATACATACACATTCACCATCAGTGTGTTCAAAGCAGGCCCCTGTGAAGAACAACAGCAACACCATCACCCTCTGCACTCTGCGAGTAATTCGAAAATACTGGCATAACAGTTTCCTACTCTATTTAAAGAATGGTCTCCTTGCATTCTTGTTACCTTTCTCTCAAAAGCAAAAGGACTCTGGGACTCTTACTTTACGAGAAAAGGAAGTACAACCGGAATCAGTTTACAGCTTTGGCCAGAGATTGTGCTGTCGTTTCTTTGTCAGTTTGCATTTTGTCTGGTTGAATTTGAATCTTTTACTTGTTCTAGAGTAAAAGCTCATGTCTGCGCATTTTGCTCAGTCTGTAATATATAATTCCTTGTACTAGCTGAAAGAGATGTAAAAGCATATGTTAAATTCCTCTCAGCTAACCCAAAGCTGAAGGGAAAATCCGTTCAGAGGTCATTTGAATGCAATACTTCACAGCATAGCTCTTTGAAATCTCAATATCAAATAATGTCTTTCTGCTGTGCATTGCAAATAATTAAATATGGGAGGGACATGCACTGCTAAGCATGGGAATTTTTTTAAAAGCAATAAGTTTGGTAATGACCGCAACCCCTTCCTCTTTTTTATCTATGCATCCATTATGTCAGCTGTAGTATATTGTCCTTTGTGCGGATCTGAGTGTGATTTGATCTGCCCTGATGTACGAAGATTGTGGTGAAACACTTCGTTTGTTGCAAATCAAAGTGTGCTGAATGGTATTGTGGAATTAATACTGTAATACTTTTGATTGCGCAGCACATGCTAATAAGGCCTTTGTGTACGCGGGTTTGCATTCCATTACGTCTGTCTTCTATAGGCTGTATCTGATGCAGTACAGTGCCATTTATTGCTAGCTGCATTTTGCAATATATCACATTCCCGCTAGCAAGCGGTGAGCTTGTATAACATAAAACTACTCATGAGAACTTTATACAATGGTCTTACAGTAACAAGATAATGGAATACAAACCTTTATACACTTCAATAGTGAACTAACAGCAAAAATCAAGTGGAGCCCTGTCTGCGTTGTTTGTAATTATTGGTTACACATTGGTTACACTGTGGTGTGGTGTATGTGTTACCTGTTACTCATCACACATTCTGTAACCCAAAAGCACTGCCATAACAGTCACTCATAGACAGATCCCTACAGGTTTGCCCTAAAAAAAGATCTGTGCCAAAAAGACCTCCCCTATCTGACATCCTCAGGTAATGTGTTAAACATGTCGTCAAGTGTCACCTTTTAAAATTAGTGTATTTAAGCCCTAATATTTTTAACTGTAATTTAAAATTGGCTGTTACAATATAAGTGTGTAAGGTTCTGACCTCACAATTCAATTTGGTTACAGTTCTTTAGGAAACAATTCAGTGCACCACAAATGTTCAGATTTTACCACAATTTTGGTATGATTCTGTATTATTTTTTAAAAGGCCACTAAATATACAAATGCCACTGAACTATTTACACACTAGTGGAATATAAACAACACAAACAATACACTACGTTGTTTTTTTGTTCTTTACGTTGGAAAATAGCCTGATTATTTTATTTTTGTCCAAAAAAATGAGCACACATTTTCTTGAATACTGTTTGATTTGATTCTAATCTTTGATCTTAACATTCCAAAATCAGTGCAGTGGTACCTTCAAATGCATTTTTACACCCCTATCACAACAATGTGCGTCCAAATTAAGCATTTACAATCAAAATTGTAGAAAAAAAAATAGAAAAACTTCAAAACAAACCACAAAAACATTGACAAGACATGACTAATGGCAGGAAAGGTGTTCTGTCTCACTACATGTAACAGCAAATGTACCATCACCACTAGATGTGCCAGTGTTTTGTAGCTCTGAAGCTTAGTGTGTGTTGTGTACTAGAAGGTGGGCTGCGGGCCACTCCCGGTCAGGCTTTGATTCCTGTGCCACTCCAAGCACCACAAGCCTTTTGGGACTGACAGTGTCATTAGTGCTTTACCCACTGTGTCAGCCTGGGCAAAGCAAAGGCCTCTCCAAGTGCTTCAGTCCTCCAGCAGAGTGACGACGGCCAGAGCACTACTCATTGCTGCTGGGAGAGTGTCGTAAGCCTGGAAAACCCTGCGCGGTCTCACGCTGAGTGTGTGTGTCTCTCCTGGCCAAGGATGTCCTCTGCTTCTTGTGTTTTCTTCTCAAGGTTCTACTGCAGCCACCCACCGCGTCTCCTTCCTCCTTCCCTCCCTCCCCCTCCTCTTCCTCCTTTCTATGTGACAAGATCATGGACTCGCACTGTCTTAGAATTGTAAAATATGATTTTGTATTCATTTGACAGTTTTACACTACTTTAAATTATTAATTTGCACATTAGGTACCGACATAAATAGTAGGAGGAAAAGAGAAAAGAACAAAATAAGATTAGTTTATTGTTAACATAGGTGTCTGTGCGTTATTTTTATTGTATGCAAGCCTGGCTGAGTGAGTGAGTCTGAGTGTGCGTGTGTGTATGTTGGGTGTGTGTATTCTTACGTGTGCCCTTATCCTCAGTGTCCTGTAATTTGAGCTGTGCCTCAAGCTATGGTTTCAGTCCATATAAGAGCCTAAATAAGACTGTTTAGGAGTCTGATTAGAGTCTGCTTACCCATATAATTGATCCTGTGGAGTGAAAATAGACTCCAGCGTATATAGCACTGCTAAATGTCTTATGCATTTCAGACCATAACCCTGCAATATTTCAGCTGTCAGTGCAGGACCACTCAAGACTGACAGACCTAGACAGAAACGCAGCACTAAACAGCTGTCTAACACATCACCTGTCTTACGTCTGCCCTGTGGCTCTGCAGCTAACAATGACCACTATTCTCCATGTCACATAGCATGCCTAAAACCCACATTCCATACACATGTATGGAAAATGTGCATGGCCTGGAATTTAAAACACAAAACAAACCCATGTAGCCCTCATTTTTTGTACAATGGTTTTACTCTGAAAGGAGTTCAGTCCACAAATCTTGCTAACAATGAATGAAAGTGAATAGCTACCATGTGGCATTATGCAAATAGAATCATGCTAACCATTGTCTCCTAGCTTCTATTGGTTGTTAGCTATATTAGCACATTTATTTGAGCTACTCTTTTAAGCTTTCATGTAACGCAGCTTTTTACACTGCTCATTTCACATGCTAACAGAGAGTGTACAAAGCAGGATTTAAGTGTATAGCGCTGATTTACATTAACATAATGTTCAAAGAGATTTTAGTGCCTTGAAACTAGATGCTCACCCTAAAGTGTCCTAACATGTTCTAAAAAACAACATGCACACACATGACCACATGCCCAATAATCTTACTGAATAGGTCAGTGGTTTCATAGCAGTCAGCTGCTACTGTAGAACAGCATTCCAGAGATTTAACAGTGTTCTTCTCCTGGGTTCAGAAGAGACGGCAAATTACTCACTCATCATTATCATAATCAGCTTAACGCTGAGCAACCTGACCACCACGGCTTACTCATTAAGGGTTTTGTAAGGCTTTAAGTGGACAGCCTTAACTTATTCATACAACCACTGAAATATCAGCATAGACTTCTAGCGGCCAGTGTACTTGTGATATAACGCAGCATTGATTCTGAGATGTAGCCTTGAGTTTGTGCTTAACAGAGTGTACTTTCAACATCACAGTTGAGGCCTAATTTCAGCAAGGATACTGTTGGCTTGACTGCATGTGCTCATGATATAACAACTCAAGATTTATGGTTAAAGGGTACAAATTAAAAATTTGGTCTACAGCAGGAACTGCAATGAAGTTTCAACAGAATATTTTATGGTATGTTTTTAAATCTGGTATTGTTGGGTTATACTACAATGACCTATGCACCTTTCTTAACTACTACCCATTAAACCTAATGAAAAACTGTAGCAAACTGTTTCACTGCGTTACTTAGAGTTACTTTAAGTTTTCAGTTTAAAATGTTACTCTACCAAGTTGGATTATTATTGCCACCATGCTAACGTTAGCTCATTTACATGACAAAAACTACACCCCATCTATCCTAGCAGTGTGACCTTTCTCACACACACAAAATGAGTCTAATAATGAATCTAAATTAATGACACACTGTAATTTAGGTATTTTGATGAAAAATTTGTCTGCATGCCTGCCAGAACTGGCAAGAGTTGTTATGAAAGAGATTTAGGTCAATTCAAGATTATAAATTTGACACATAAACTTGGGCAAAATGCAATGTAGATTTAGTCAAATGTAGATTTAGTCAAAGACAACTGTGTATTTTACAGTATTTTATTGTTATTTTATATAAGCATTCATCTTTGTTAAAGCCATTATGTGTGATGTTGCAAAGACAGTCTATCAATCAGCTAAATAGTCCTTCCAAGATGTGCCTATAACCAAGACTGGCCTTGCACAGAACATCTTTTATATACTAATCCTGTATGATTTTATCAGGTGCCTCTTAGCAATACAGTTGAACAGTATGTTTAACATTAGCCCAGGATACAAATTGTTATGAAACAAACAGAATATGAAAGAAGAAAACTGGGGAAGGATGAGGTCATCATGTGCGTGAACGTTTGTGTGTGTGTGTGTGTGTCTCCTTGGGTACAGTACGCTATATGAGCTGGAAGATCTGTATTGCGTTGGTGGTTGGTGGAGAGAGAGAAAGTGAAAGAGAGAGAGAGAGAGAGAGAGACAGCATGTGTAAGCGTGGGGGTGGTATGCTAGCATGTGTGGGATGGGCTGAACGTTACTGCAGGGGTCTCGTGACAGGGCTGCTGCTCTAATGGGCTGTGCTGGTGTACGCACTGCGCAGAGTGAGCTCCATTGTATAGCGCTCATTCCACACCACATACTTCACTCGTGAGCTGGGTCAGAGGATAGAGTGAGGTCACGCTAGAGAGAAAGGGCCTCTACCACAAACAAAAAAATCTATTCCTTTCACTGAGATTATTCATGACATGTTTAATTACACATAGCTTCAGTTTAAAAGAAATGTTTGGAGAAAATCTAATTTACACATTTTTAAATTACATTTATGTAGATAAAATTATGTCATACAGCAATAAAAGCAAGACTGTTTAAGACTATTAACAACTTCAAATGTTAACATTTTAAAATTTTGTTTTTATAGATAAAATGTCACAGTGTCAGCACACAAGCAAGTCTGATATTATTAAACACTGCAGGCTACCCAGTGCTACATGTGTTGTAAACATACCTACTCACCTCCTACAGTGGCACCACAACACACTAGAGTGACTTATGGATGGATACATGAGGGAGTGCTGATTTTTTTTTTTTGTTTCACGAACTGACCAGTGCAGAAGGAAGCTGGAAAGCTAAAGTGTCTGCTAGGAAGCTGAATATCACGTCTGTTTTTATTAACCTCTTCTATGCTTTATCACAGGGGTTCTCAATGGCTGTATGATGTATTTGCATAATACATGATGGGTACTGTAGTGAGGAACACTGATGAGCAAAAACACACAAAGGGCACAAAATCATGCCAGAATGGCCCTCTCATGGTTTGTGGGAGGGAAAAAAATCTCCTTAATATCTCATTAGTTTCTCCAAGACAACAGTGAGATCCGACAGAAATACACATGACACGTCTGCTTGACTTTCCTGCTGCTCAGATATTTCACCAGAACAAAAGAGCCCACTAATCTCACAGTCTCCTCTTGAGCTTTAGTAGAAATCTCACTAAAGTCACACATTGTGCTCAGATAATAACATTCATATTTATCTACAACTGAACTAACGACAGGAACTCAACAAAATTCAGTGATTTCTCATCCAAAACTAAGAGCCTTCTCAGAAGTATATCACATCTCCTTTTTCGCCTAATACTATTTCTCCTAAGGAATTTTAAAAGAATCACCATTAAGTCTCTTGAGCCATCAAAGATCAATATTTGAGCAATTCAATTTT